CAAGTTTTCTGCATGTGTAAAATTGGCTTACACTCGTTGTATGCGAACATAGAGTCTATCACACCCGATCATCATGAGTTGCTTCGACACGACGAACTTTTGCAATGGTGCATACTCAGGGAGAACACAATTTCTCGACCCCCAAGGCAAGCCCCCCGTGCCCATTGTCTATGTAGATCGGGCAACACAATGAGCCGCAGGGTAGTGTCCACAGCACGCCACCGTGTAATGGACGACGCGGAGGCCCTCCTATGCGGGTACTCTAGCATCTTTATATGAAGAACATTATATCACGTTAATTGACGTGATTTTATCACCATATCTTGGAGTTCTTTTCCTATACCCCCAAAACAATTCCATAGGTGGCATCCTGATGGAAACATGCCAAAAGAGGTCCCTGAACACAGTAAAACCTAGTGCTAAAGAACAAAACAAAATGTAAAAACAACATATATTTTGGACTCATCAAACAAAAGTGAAGATGAGGATGGTGATGGCTAGGAAAGGGAAAGGGTTCCCAGTCCCACTCCCACGTGTAGCATGGGTCGACCCGACGGGGGGAAGAGAGGAAAGGAGAAGTTCAAGAGAGAAGTTGAGGTGGAGGCGATGTAACAAAGGTTGATGACGATAAGGACAAGGAACTAGTTTACGGAGAAGAGTAAGCAAGAAAAATATAGAGATGGAGGAGAAGAAGATCCAATAGAAGAGGGCGTTGAGATGGAATGCTATATGCAAGAGAGTTGATGGCATCATGAAGAGATGTACTCCTAGGTGACTACGCTCAAACTTCAGATGTATCAGGCGACAACTAAACAGATAGGCCAGGATAATTGATTCATCATATTGGATCTGGACTCCTTAGATCCAGTGATGGGCATTTTATGGAAGAAGAATGTCGATTGCATGCTTCAAGGACCTCAAAGACGGACAATGGATACGCAAGAGAAGAAGGGGATGCTGCACTCGTCGACAACATGTAATTTGTACATGTCACCAGTTAAATGCTTTTATTTGTGCAACTTATCAAAAACTACGTGTATGTTTATTTGATTTGCTAAACTTTTAAATTTACAATCGAAGTTTTTGAATGAGGAAAAAAATTATGGCTAGGATTTGACTACTATGAGCATGCCCGTTATCTGATTAGTCTCCAAATGCATATGGAGCGCGGTTCATGTACATTATGATAACTCATATATGAAACTATAGAGTTGTTTTAAGAGAAGCACAAAAAGAGCGACAAGTCATCGCAATAGGAAAAAGGCGTAAATAAACTAAGAGCTATCCCCCCCCCCCTCGGCACCAAGTAAAATGTTTTTTTGCGCATTGTAGATAACTAATTTCATCATTAACAACTCTGTTGTAAAAAAAGGGAACACAGACTGTAAATAAAAATAGAATATACCATGCAAAACATGCTCTTTCAATTATATTAAATAATTAACACCACCATTTTTTGTTAAAAATTAACACCGTCATTAATAGCTCGGTTGGCACAATAAAGAGAAAAAACAAAGAGTAAATGAATTTGGGAAAAATAGCAGGTAAACACACACCCTTTCAATTATTTTTGGTTAATAAACAACTCAGTTGGCAATAAGAGAAAGAGAGAGAAAAAAGGCAAATAAAATAATAAGAATAATTCCCCCGAAAAAGAGGAAAATGCCATGTAAAAACAAAGGCAAATCAAATAATAATTAACACCATCATTAATAGCTCGGTTGGCACAATAAAGAGAAAAAACAAAGAGTAAATGAATTTGGGAAAAATAACAGGTAAACACACACCCTTTCAATTATTTTTGAGATGGAATGCTATGCAAGAGAGTTGATGGCATCATGAAGAGATGTACTCCTAAGTGACTACGCTCAAACTTCAGATGTATCAGGCGACAACTAAACAGATAGGCCAGGATAATTGGTCCATCATATTGGGTCTGGACTCCTTAGAACCAGTGATGGGCATTTTATGGAAGAAGAATGTCGATTGCATGCTTCAAGGACCTCAAAGAGGGGACAATGGATACGCAAGAGAAGAAGGGGACGCTGCACTCGTCGACAACATGTAATTTGTACATGTCACCAGTTAAATGCTTTATTCGTGCAACTTATCAAAAACTACGTGTATGTTTACTTGATTTGCTAAACTTTTAAATTTACAATCGAAGTTTTTGAATGAGGAAAAAAATTAAGGCTAGGATTTGACTACTATGAGCATGCCCGTTATCTGATTAGTCTCCAAATGCATATGAAGCGTGGTTCATGTACATTATGATAACTCATATATGAAACTATAAAGTTGTTTTAAGAGAAGCACGAAAAGAGCGACACGTCATCGCAAGAGGAAAAAGGCGTAATAAACTAAGAGCTACCCCCCCCCCCCCTCGTCACCAAGTAAAATGTTTTTTTTTGCGCATTGTAGATAACTAATTTCATCATTAACAACTCTGTTGTAAAAAAGGGAACACAAACTGTAAATAAAATTAGAATATACCATGCAAAACATGCTCTTTCAATTATATTAAATAATTAACACCATCATCTTTTGTTAAAAATTAACACCATCATTAATAGCTCGGTTGGCACAATAAAGAGAAAAAACAAAGAGTAAATGAATTTGGGAAAAATAGCAGGTAAATACACACCCTTTCAATTATTTTTGGGTAATAAACAACTCAGTTGGCACTTGGCAATAAGAGAAAGAGAGAGAGAAAAAGGCAAATCAAATAATAAGAATAATTCCCCCGAAAAAGAGGAAAATGCCATGTAAAAAGCTGTGGCGTCGCCCGGATTTGAACCGGGGATCCTCAGCGTGTTAAACTGATGTGCTAACCAACTACACCACGACACCTTTTATGTTTGTACTGTCATCTTAATATTTTTATTACTAAAACGTTTAGTTGGCTGATTATGACGTCATCCAGAGATTCCCCGGCTGGCACAGGGGGCGATGCGCAAACCCCTGGCCGTGATCGAAAACCACAAACCGTCAATCTTCTGTAGTACTCCCCGTACGAAAATACGTAGGGTCAATGACAGTTTCCTTTATTTAGTGGAGGTGCTAAAACAAGGCTAGTCAATTCTGAGGTCCACTTCACTTTACTAAGTCTACCTTCCAAGCTAACATGAGCTGACTCTGCCTATCATTAGGCCTATAAAAGCATGTCAAATCCTAAGGCTAGGCTACTAACTAGGTCGATCACGATGGTTTATTCTTCCCATAAAACAAAGCGCACACTACAGTTTATTTTAGTAATAAAAAGAAAATGCTGTTTACATCAGACAAACATCACTACACAGAACCGAACCCTGCTCTTTGACTGGTAGCTGGGCTTAATCCGGCATGCAGATCAAGTGCCCAAGGCACGTCATTGGCAGGGCAGCAGCAGTAGTATAAGAGAGGCACGCCCTGCACGTGTGGCCCGTCACGGCGAACCGCCGGCAGCCGGCGGGTTCCCATTTCTCGAGGTGGCACATCGCGGTCTCATGGCAGGAATCATCGTCGGTTCAGAAGCCCCTTTTCTGCCCCGTCGAAGCGTCTCCGGCGAAGTGCTCCGGTTGGTGATGATCTCATCCCAGTTTGAGGCAAAACGGCAAAAAATGCGGTTCGATTTTTGATGTAATAGTTGTGAGGCCAACCAACGACCGACGAAAAGGTTCCGGAGGAGACATGTAACCAACGGACTAGCATTATTCTGCAGCGGCAATTTTAAATTTTGCCTTGGTCTCTGTTTGTTCATGCAATCCATGCATGGAGCAGGCTGCAAAGATTGGTGCCGACGCATTAAACAACCGCAGCTGCATAGCAAGTTGCACGCTTGGACACTGACCACGCAACAGATGTTGAGAAAATAATGTACGTGTTTATTGAGTTCGATACGGTACGGAGAGACAGAAGACATGATTGGAATTGCGTGATGCCTGATATGATGATGATCAATAAACTCGAGGGCATGTCGGCTCCCTCCTCTTCCTTTTAGCTTGAGAATATTGACTCTTGTCCATTCAATTCAATTCAATTCAATGGCTTGCGGAAGCGGTTGCAAGTAGCAACACTCCTACCCCTACCGAGCACCTGCTCCTAGGGCCCCATAAATATGATCTTTCAGTCTATACAAACTTTCTTTGTTTCAATTATGGAAAAGGGAATATCTTCAGCTCTTTTTCCTTTTCAATTATGGAACAAGGAGTATCTTCAATATGAGAATATCCCATCAACTCTTTATCAGTTCCAATTAAGAGTTGAGAGGTCATGCCCGTCATGATATGCTGAATAAGTCGTTTCGTGTCATATTTTGCAATTGCACCAAGACAAAAGCCATCAAATATAAAGAAAGCTGATGGCCTGTGGAGGCGGTTGCAAGTAGCAACACTCCCACCCCTGCAGAGTACCGACTCCCGGGACCCCCATATATACTGTTTTTCATTCTTCTGTTATAGTATGAAGTTTCCTTCAATTATGGGAAAGTGACTTTCAATTATGAAAAAAGGAACATCTTCAAATCATTCTCCTTCCAATTATGGAACAAGGAGTATCTTCAGTATGAGAATATCATATCAAAACTCATGAAGAGTTGACGGGTCATGCTTGTCATGATACGCTGAATAAAATTGTTTCATGTCATGTTATACAATTGCAGGAAGACAAAAGCAGAATCCAAGAGTCTTGATGTCATCATAACCATCAAATGGAAAGAAAATTGGTGAGTGGCACATGGACACGAGGATCAAGGAGAGATCTAGCATCACGGCATGAGTCAGTCAGTCATCTGAGCTGAATTGTCATGTACTCGTGTGGCAACAATACATTCAGCAACAATTTTTTTTACAGGTCTAATTAGCGGCCACGGCAATTTTGGAAATCTTAATCCCACATTGTGGATGCAAACAAGCTGCACTATCTTCTACACAATCACTTGGTTGCACGGTGTTAGTACTTACCACTGGTAAAATTTGGACACAACTACTTTTGCTCTACACATAAACAGTTTGCAATGAGCCTCAGATACTGAACTCTCTCTTGTTCTTCTCTTTGATTTCATCCGGTTTGAGTACATGCATGAGAATTGTCATAACAATCTTCATGATCTCTTCTTCAGCATATGATGTGGTAAATCGGACTGCAAAGTGCAGATATTGTTAGAAGGTGTGTGATGAATGTCAGAACCTTACTGATTCAGCAAATCAGTGCATTAGACACACAATTCTTACATATGCAGGCCTAATCCATCTAAAGGCATGCTGTTCATTCATTAGTAGTATATGACCACAGGGAACAATAAGTCTTAACTAAAGAAGATGTCAACAAAAATGTCTTAACTGAAGAAAGTAGAAACATTTCAGTGCTCATGGTTTCACTCGAGATAAAAATCACAAAAACCAAAGAAACTATTAATGCGGTTCTTTGCCGGACCATACATAAATAAAGTGAAGCACGCAGCTAATGGCTTACCCCAAGGAAGGATTGGAAACTCCCATGTCTGCTTAGGAACTGACATAACATATGCAGTAACCTTAAGAGAAAAGAGACAGACAGCGTTAGGCATAACATTGTCGCAGCTCTATCTATCATCTTTTCAATGTCAGTGGGAATGCTGCATTTAGGGAACATACAAGAGTTGAAGCAGCAAGTGGACAGGGAAAGTCAAAAAGCCATGAGGTATCTTCGGTCTCATAAAGAACATCCAAAATTTCCATGCACACATCCATACTTAAAAGATCACCCAACTTCGATATTTCCCTGTCAGTGAAGAAGAAAATAAGCAGCACGTTATTTGAAATTCTATACTTACGTTTCACATGTACTGAGAATCCAGAACAATAAGAACATATGAGCAGCATATGTTCATGGTTTAATACTTTCTACACATCAGCAAAATTATTGTAGTGCTAAGCACTAACAGTGTAACTTCGTGGGATTGGTAAACAAATGGTGGTGTGTACTGTGTCTGTGCACCAACTAAAAACTTACAAAGAGTCAAGTGCACTGCTCAGGGGGAAGTGAGAAACTGAATGCAACAGATTCTAATTCTAGTGACTAATTACTGAACCTGCATGTGGTGTGTGGTACTGTGGTTTCTCATATAATGCATTGCCCAATATAAATGGATGTGTACCTTACAGAACTTCAGAGTTACAAGATGATACATGTTCACCACAAACTAGTAATTCAGTATTGTATATAACGGTTCTAAAAGGCTATAAGAATTGCTCCTAATGAAAGTATTAACAATTGGAGTACTGGTCAGTGATTAGCGAATGAATTAAGCAATTTGATGAACCTGAACTGAATGAGAAGCTGCTCCAGGTATATGAAAGCAATGTTGGAACACCCAACATTATAATCCACTACCTACAGACCACTCAACAAACAACGATTTCATAGTGTGGGAAGACGAAAGCAATACAAAGCAAACATTCCAGCGCTAGCCCAGAGGCTTTACCTCCATGAACACCAGCTCCTGCGGCAGTACAACAAACACCTTCAGTCCGCATAATCAGGAACCAAAATGAAAGAGAACAATGCACCACGAACTCACAGCATCCGCGAAATCACGGCATGTGAAATGCTGGTCGGCGATGATGCGGTCGCTGAGCGCCTTGAGGCTCTTCACCGACAGTGGCCTCATCTCATGGATCTGAAACAGAAAACATCACGAAAAGGAAGGTAATGATGCTCCCCCATGGCATGCATGCACAGAGAGTTTGCTGAGATGCTCACGGTATCACCTTGCTGGCGATCCACACCGCGACGAGCACGAAGAGCTCCAGGTTGCTGTCCCTGAGGGGCTCGATCAGCCACGACCTGATGGCCCATCCACTTCGTGCGCCGTAGAACCCCATCTTCCTGCCACGAACATGTCAAGAAGGAAAAGCTCGCCCCAACCAAAACTAGAAATTGTGTCTAGGAGTGGGAGATCGACCGCCGTCACCTCTCACCTCGGAAGCGCGGGGAGGAAGCGTCCGTCGAAGAAAGAGAGCGCGGAGTACTTGACGATGGGCCGGAGGTCGAGCCGCTACAAGGAAATCGCGGACGGCAGCGGGTGAGACTGAGTTCGGTCGGGGTCGCGGACAACGGAGGGAGATGAATGCTTACGTTGGAGGCGTGGAGGAGGAACTGGAGGAGGTGGCTGCGGCGGGAGGAACCAGGCCACGCGCTTGCCGCCGCCGCCGCGTCCGCCTCCACCATTTCCATGGTGGCGCAAGTCGGGGACGGCCCCTTTCTTTTCGATTTGCTTTCTGTTCATTCCCACTTTTCTTTTCTTTCTTCACTTCTTTGTTTTAGGAGAAAAATATGTAAGAACTTCTAAAAAATCACATGAAGATATCAATATTGATTTTGTACTACTTGTACACATGGTTACATTAACTATCTACACGGATGTTCCATCTCGAGATGTGTGCGCATCTTTTTGAGTTCTTCTATTTTTTTCATTTCATTTACACCCCGTGGCGCTAGGAACTCATTCCAAATTACGATCACAAGTTCACATGGTTTGATCCAGGTAGTTATCACATATGCGACGTGTCGAGGAGGAAGAATAAAGAGGAACATACACATGAAGCCATTGTTGCCTTTCTTCATCCTAGAGATGCTCATTGACGTTTTAAAAGGCTGATGTTGTGTGGCTCTCTTTCTTGAGTTGAAACATGTAGGTGGCATACTTGTCCCTCAAAAAAATGTAGGTGGCCCACTTGGGTCTATGAATTGATGGCTAGGCGTCTTTGCTCGAGTTGGCCTTCAGCGATGGTGGAGCTAAGAGAGAAGCAAGGGGAGGTGGGCAAAGAGAAAATATGCATCATTGGTGGGCCCAAATGACTGCACTCTTCAAGCGTCTATTTTTTTATTTCACTAAATATTTAGGGTGGGAGGGGGCTGGGAGGGGACAACGCCCCCCTTGCAATGCATGTAGCTCCGCCAATGGCCTTTGAAGCCCATTGTCTTCCTTATCTCTATCGTGCATCAACGTGTGAGACTGGTCATAGGTGTCTTGTCCCTAAGGTATTGTCATCGGAAATCGACATCAAAGATCTTCTAGATTCTTCCAGGTTTCTTGAGTTGCTTGAAAATCACCTCCAATGAATAAGGCATTGTTCTTTCATCTTGAGTGCTGTGACGCCCCCGATTTGACCGTACACTAATCATACACGCAAATGTGTACGATCAAGATCAAGGACTCATGGGAAGATATCACAACACAACTCTAGACACAAATTAAAAATAATACAAGCTTTATATTACAAGCCAAGGGCCTCGAGGGCTCGAATACATAGCTCGAATACACGAGAGTCAGCGGCAGCAACAATATTTGAGTACAGACGTGAGTTAAACAAATTTGCCTTAAGAAGGCTAGCACCAAAGTAGCAACGATCGAAAAGGCGAGGCCTCCTGCCTGGGACCTCCTAACTACTCCTCGAAGCCGAACTCTACGTAGAAACATCCTCGGGATCCTCTGGCTCCTGGACTCTATCATATGATCGCAATAACCGAAAAAAGGGGAAAAAGAAGTAGCAAAGCAACCGCGAGTACTCATCCAAAGTACTTGCAAGCAAGGATCTACACTACATATGCATTGGTATCAATGAAATGGGTAGTATCTGTGGACTGAACTGCAGAATGCCAGAATAAGAGGGGGATAGCTAGTCATATCGAAGACTACGCTTTTGGCAGCCTCCATCTTGAAGTATATAGGAGAGAGTAGATGGTAAGTTCACCAAGTAGCATTGTATAGCATAATCCTACCCGGCGATCCTCCCCTCGTCGCCCTGTGAGAGAGCGATCACCGGGCTGTATCTGGCACTTGAAAGGGTGTATTTTATTAAGTATCTGGTTCTAGTTGTCATAAGGTCAAGAGTAACAACTCTGGGTTGTCCTTTTACCAAGGGACACGGCTATTCGAATAGATAAACTTCCTTGTAGGGGTGCACCACATTTCCCAACATGCTCGATCCCCTTTGGTCGTACACACTTTCCTGTGCCATGCCCGGCCTCGGAAGATCAACACGTCGCAGCCCTACCTAGGCACAACAGAGAGGTCAGCACGCCGGTCTAAATCCTAAGCGCGCAGGGGTCTGGGCTCATCGCCCATTGCACACCTACATGTTGCGTACGCGGTCGATGAGCAGACCTAGCAACCTCCATTACAAAGGAAGTTGCATTACGCGGTCCAACCCGGCGCGCCGCTCAGTCGCTAATGTCAAGAAGGCTTCGGCTGATACCATGACGTCGAGTGCCCAGAACTGTTCCCGCGTAGTTGATTAGTGTATAGGCCAGTGGCCTGACTCAGATCAAATACCAAGATCTCATTAAGCGTGTTAATTGATGTACCTGCGGACGCCGACCAGGGCTAGGCCCACCTCTCTCCTAGATGGTCTCAACCTGCCCTGTCGCTCCGCCACAAAGTAACAGTCGGGGGCCGTCGGGAACCCATGCCCGCCACTACCAGGATGGAACCACCTGCCCTTTCAGCCGCCACATCGGAATCACTTGCGGGTACTCTATGAGCCGACCCGACTTTAGTCACCACATGTATCACATATTATGTATATAAGTGTATACCCATGATCACCTCCCAAGTGATCACGACCCGATAGTATAGCATGGCAGACGGACAAAAATGTAGGGCCACTGATGGAATACTAGCATCCTATACTATGCATTTAGGATTGCAGGTAAAGGTAACAACAATAGTAGCAAAGACAGGCTATATGCATCAAAATAGGATTATCAGAAAGCAGTAACATGCTACACTACTCTAATGCAAGCAGTAGAGAGAAGAATAGGCGATATCGGGTTGATCAAGGGGGGCTTTCCTGGTTGCCCTGGCAAGGAGGAGGGGTCGTCGTCGACGTAGTCGTACTCAGGGGCATCAGCGTTGGCTCGAGGTCTACCGGAGAAGAAGAGGGGAAGAAACAGTAAATACGGAGCAAACAAAGCATCACAAAAACATAACATGACAATACATAGTGCTACGGGTGACCTAACGCAGTACTAGGTGTGATACGTCCATTTTGCATCATGCTTTTATATTGATATTTATTGCATTATGGGCTGTTATTACACATTATGTCACAATACTTATGCCTATTCTCTCTTATTTTATAAGGTTTACATGAAGAGGGGAATGCCGACAGCTGGAATTCTGGGCTGGAAAAGGAGCAAACATTAGAGACCTATTTTGCACATCTCCAAAAGTCCTGAAACTTCACGGGAGCATGTTTCAGAATATATAAAAAATATTGGGCAAAAGAAGTAGCAAAGGGGGGCCACCCACCGTCCACGAGGGTGGGGGCGCGCCCAGGGGGTAGGGCGCGCCCCCTGCCTCATGGCCCCCCTGGTGGCCCTCCAATGCCCATCTTTGGCTATATGGGGTCTTTCGTCAAGGAAAAAAATAATAAGCAAGCTCACGGGACGAAACTCCGCCGCCATGAGGCGGAACCAATCTAGGGCTCCGGCGGAGCTGTTCTGCCGGGGAAACTTCCCTCCGGGAGGGGGAAATCATCACCATCGTCATCACCAACAATCCTCTCATCGGGAGGGGGTCAATCTCCATCAACATATTCACCACCACCATCTCATCTCAAACTCTAGTTCATCTCTTGTATCCAATCTTTGTATCCAAACCTTAGATTGGTACCTGTGGGTTGCTAGTAGTGTTGATTACTCCCTGTAGTTGATGCTAGTTGGTTTACTTGGTGGAAGATCATATGTTCAGATCCATTATGCATATTAATACCCCTCTGATTATGAACATGAATATGCTTTATGAGTAGTTACGTTTGTTCCTGAGGACATGCGAGAAATCTTGCTATAAGTAGTCATGTGAATTTGGTATTCGTTCGATATTTTGATGAGATGTATGTTGTCATCCCTTTAGTGGTGTCATGTGAACATCAACTACATGACTCTTCATCATTGTTTGGGCCTAGAGGGAGGCATTTGGAAGTAATAAGTAGATGATGGGTTGCTAGAGTGACAGAAGCTTAAACCCTAGTTTATGTGTTGCTTCGTAAGGGGCTGATTTGGATCCATATGTTTCATGCTATGGTTAGTTTTACCTTAATACTTCTGTTGTAGTTGCATATGCTTGCAATAGGGGTTAATCATAAGTGGGATGCTTGTCCAAGGAAGGACAGTACCCAAGCACCGGTCCACCCACATATCAAATTATCAAAGTACCGAACGCGAATCATATGAACGTGATGAAAACTAGCTTGACGATAATTCCCATGTGTCCTCGGGAGCGCTTTACTTTATATAAGAGTTTGTCCAGGCTTGTCCTTTGCTACAAAAAGGATTGGGCCATCTTGCTGCACCTTATTTACTTTTATTACTTGCTACCCGTTATAAATTACCTTATCACAAAACTATCTGTTATCGATAATTTCTGTGCTTGCAGAGAATACCTTGCTGAAAACCGCTTTATCATTTCCTTCTGCTCCTCGTTGGGTTCGACACTCTTACTTATCGAAAAGGCTATGATAGATCCCGTACACTTGTGGGTCATCAAGACTCTTTTCTGTCGTCATTGTCGAGGAGTGAAGCGCCTTTGGTAGGTGAAATTTGGTAAGTATAAATTTATATAGTGTGCTGAAATTTATTGTCACTTGTTACTATGGAACATAATCCTTTGTGGGGCTTGTTCGGGGTATCTTCACCCCGACCAGTAGAGCAAAGAGTTGCTCCTCAACCTACTGAACCTACTGAAATTTTTTACTTTGAAATTCCTTCGGGTATGATAGAGAAACTGCTAGCTAATCCTTTCACAGGTGACAGAACATTATATCCCGATTTGCACTTAATCTATGTGGATGAAGTTTATGGATTATTTAAGCTTGCAGGTATGCCCGAGGATGTTATCAAGAAGAAGGTCTTCCCTTTATCTTTGAAGGGAGATGCATTGACATGGTTGAGGCTATGTGATGATATTGGATCATGGAACTACCAACGATTGAAATTGGAATTTCATCAGAAGTTTTATCCTATGCATCTGGTTCATCGTGATTGTAATTATATATATAATTTTTGGCCTCGCGAAGGAGAAAGTATCGCTCAAGCTTGGGGGAGGCTTAAGTCAATGTTATATTCATGCCCAATCATGAGCTCTCAAAAGAAATGATTATTCAAAAAAATTATGCTCGACTTTCTCTGAGTAATCGCTCCATGCTCGATACTTCTTGTACTGGATCTTTTATGATGAAGACTATTGAATTCAAATGGGATTTATTGGAAAGAATTAAACACAACTCTGAAGATTGGGACCTCGATGAAGGTAAGGAGTCAGGCATGACACCTAAGTTTGATTGTGTTAAATCTTTTATGGATACCGATGCTTTGCGTGAATTTAGCACTAAATATGGACTTGACTCTGAGATAGTAGCTTCTTTCTGTGAATCCTTTGCTACTCATGTTGATCTCCCTAAGGAGAAGTGGTTTAAATATAATCCTCCCATTGAAGTAAAAGTAGTTGCACCTATTAAAGTTGAAGAAAAGACTATCACTTATAATGATCCTGTTGTTCCTACTGCTTATATTGAGAAACCACCTTTCCCTGTTAGAATAAAGGATCATGCTAAAGCTTCAACTGTGGTCAACAAAAGTAATATTAAGACGCATAAACCCCCTGAGCTAATTAAAGTTGAACCTAATGTTGATATGGTTAAAGATCTCTTGGCTGATAATATTGATGGGCATGTTATTTACTTCTGCAATGAATCTGCTAGAACTGCTAGACCTGATACTAAAAATAAACATAGACATGTTGTAGGCATGCCTGTTATTTCTGTTAAAATAGGAGATCATTGCTATCATGGCTTATGTGATATGGGTGCTAGTGCTAGTGCAATACCTCATTCTTTATGAAGAAATTAGGCATGATATTACACCTGCTAAGTTAGAAGGTATTGATGTTACCATTAAGCTTGCCAATAGAGATACTATTTCACCGGTTGGGATTGTTAGAGATGTTGAAGTCTTGTGTGGGAAAGTTAAATATCCTACTGATTTTCTTGTTCTTGGTTCCCCACAAGATGACTTTTGTCCCATTATATTTGGTAGACCCTTCTTGAATACTGTTAATGCTAAGATAGACTGCAAAAGGATA